AAGACTAGAAATATATTTTTTGACATAAAAATACCAAAATACCTTCTATATAAAAAACGTTATTAGTTTGTTCTTTTTCCTTTTTCTGTTATTTTTCTTTTTTCCTGGTGTGGAGATAATCATAATCTTTTTTTTTCTTTTTTCTAGTTTATTTATATTTCATAATTGTATTTTTTTAAAATTTAAATATTATTAAAAATATAAGGGTAATTTTTTTTTTCTTTTCATCTACAATTATGTGCTAATTTTTTTTTTATCTTGGAGGGGTTCTTTGCACTTTCGGAATAACACTGTGGGTCGGTGCTAATAGTTCGTTAAAATTCTATCATAACAAGGATGAAAAAAATAATGAGTTAAAAATTTAAAAAGAAATTAAGAAAAATATGTTGCAATAGGTATCATAAGATGGCCCAACTAATAATGTCCAGCATCAAATATCCCACTGAGCCCATTAATCAAGCATTAGCCCAATAGTTTTTATTTTTATTTTTACTCACTGTACTCCGTTAAATATTGGTTTCCAATTCTACCCCTTTGGCATATCTTATGTATATTTTGACCAATTAAAAAAGTACTCCCCTCACTTTTCAAATTTAACACACTCCACCACCTATTAAAAACACACACCATTTCATGAAGGGAAAAAAAAATTGAACCGGACGCGGAAGCAAGATAAGAACAAACAAAAAAACCATTGCAACGTTCGCAGTAACTGCCGTCGAAAGCCCATTACCTAGTGTTGCGTCTTCTGCATTTTCAAAATAAAAATATGTGTTGTGTTTGAATGAAGAATGTGTGTGTGTATCAATTGAATTGGTCTTTTGAAAATGAATCTGAAATATAAATTCGTATATTTCAGCGAACGAGACGACCAATTTCAGGAAAATGAATTGGATTTTGTATCTTTGTCTGTCTCCCGAAAATGAGAAAAATTGTATGTACCCAAATTGAAAAAAAAAAATATTTGTACCGAATTTTGTAAAAAAATAAATTAGAAGGGCAAATTAGTATTTTTCTTATTGACGTATTTTAAAATGCATTTTGGTGGAGTGTGGTGCGAAATGAATTTAAACTTCGAATTTCACTAATAAAATAGATCCAAAAATAAATAAATAAATAAACAATGACTAGAAGAACCTTCTGTAATAGTCAGTGACAATGTTTTCTCGTCTTCCTCCACTGCATTGTTTTTTTCAATCATGTTTTCTACATAGCTTTTGAATATTGAAAAGTTTTATGGTTTATTTAGTCCTAATATTAATATTAATATTAATTTCACTCCAGTACTAATTTTATATTTTCAAATATGTCCTTACGATCAATTTTGTTGAGCTATGTTTGTCGTTTCTACTTAAAGAATTTTGATTTTGACACTTATCAGCTCCTTTTGTTGCCCTCAAATATTCAAATTTTGACAGCAATTCTTGAACGCATGCCACTGACAAATTGAGTATATATATTATTATTTATTATCATAATATTTCAATTTGCCAAATAATATTCTATAAATCCATTGATTAAGAGTTTCATATTCAATTTCTAATGTAAAATTAGACACGTTAGATTAAATATTTGAGGAGGAATCATTTCAAAGAAAGCTCACACGATCATCTAGTTGTCTAGCCAAGTTATCATTATATTTAGACAATTAGAATTTATTAATTTGGACTATGTTCGGAATTTTAAATTATGTTACATTGGGTGAAATACACTGGAAATATATTTACAATTTATAAGCACACAAACACACTCACATTGATGTGTTTAGATCAACAGTAGAAATCCACCTGATGTAGCATATATAATAATAACACTATGTTCGGTATGTGAGTCTCGCATCTAAATTGAAGCCCAATAAGAATCATTAAGAGTGAAAAATTCACTTAAAAATAGACCATATAATATATGATTCTCCATTATTAACTAAATCCTTATATTTTTATTTTATTTTTTTGATTATGTATATATTTTTGTTTCCAAAAAAAAAATGGCATTTTATCCAATGTTCTCAAAACCGGACAGGAGTGGCTGGTTTTACCGAAAACTGGAGGCTAACCCGGTCTAATCCAACTTAAAAACCCCGGGTCAGATAAATATGACCCAGAACAACCTCTGTTGAACCGGCCTAAACCGGTGAAAACCAGCGAAAATACGTACCGTGTTTATACGAGATGCATATAAATCGAAAGGAATAAGGTTACATTCAACAAAAAGTAGCGGTTTAGCTAGTAGCCTAATAACTTCCACGAAACTTGTAAATATATATCAAGTAACTATTTATTTCATTTTTTTCATTAACTAATTTATCACAATTATTCAACTAACAATGCCACTTTTCTTCCTTTCTTTACACGTTGGTCTCTATTCGTGGATAAAAAGTTGAATAGTCTGTCCACGAGAATCTGCATTTTCTTCATCTCCTTATTTATTTTTTATTTTTATTTATTTATTTTCTACAAGTTAGTATGATAATATGAAGACTCGTGTGCATTCTTTAAAAGCTTAGAATAGAATATTATTATGCCTTTTGACGGGGAAAAAATAATTGAACTGTAACATTCACATATAAATATTTTAATAAACTTTACGTTAGCAAGTAGAACGTTGTAAGTGATGGATTACATATTTAATTATGTTAGCCATGATGTAAATAAATTAAATAAATACACTTTTTTCCTGCTTATGTAACATTTAAAATTAAAGTCTACAGTCATGTTATACACGATTGATCACTTCTAGATGTTTTATTTCACAAGCAGTTTTAAATTGATAGGTTTTTTTTTATATAATTACTATTTTTAATTATAATAACGTCATATTACTTTCGTAGATGCCGACTTCCGACCAACTTAAAATACGTGAAAATTAGTGAAAATCCCCCCGTTTTGGAATTTCATTGACATAGTTCCACCATTTGGAAATAATTAGCTAGTGAAAACCCTCTCTTATATATATTTTTTCTCGAAATTCTACTTTACCTTATTTTTTTCGGGAAATTTTGGATTAAGATGGACGTACGTAAATCGACTACGATTAAAATATTAAAGCGTATATATTAGACCTAAAAACAAGGAACCAACTATAAAAACATAGTTGAATTATTAATCGACTATTGTTGATTTTGTAGACTATAGCATAACAATACGAGAATCGATGGCAGCGATTTATTAATCGACTATACTCGATTTTGTAAACTATCACATAACAATATTAAAATCAATGGCAGAATAAGTGGAGTGTATCGAACAAGTGGAAGAATTAAGTTCTGTCACGCGATGCATTGGTCGTGGCCGTAGAGAAGGAAGTTGTTGGTATATATATATATATATATATATATGAGAGGACGGTTTCATTAATTCCGGCGGTGGAGGTGTTTGATGACGGTGGTGTCTCAGCGGTGGTGGAGCCTGGAGGTGTTTCGATGTCCAACGACGATGGATGTTTTTGATATGCGGAAGTGGCGGCGCCTCGGCACTCGTGAAGGTATTTGATGTCCAGACGTTACGTGGTGGTTCGACGGCAGCCATCGATCATGAAGATGAAGTAATTCAGATTTAGGGTGAAAAGGAGTGGGTAGAACTTTTGTCTAATATGAATATTAGAATATATTTTAAGAAACCGACAATTAATTCTAAATAAAAGAAAAAGAAAAAAAACAACGATTACCTTTCCTAGAAATCACAAGACTAAATCGATTCATTGCATGCAACTACAAGTTATTCTATAGTTGCATGGACTATTGACTTGTGAAAATCGGACCAAATACTCTTTTTATTTTATTTTATTACACAGATTATATTATATTATATATGAGAATATCTTTTATTTGTAGATGACTTTTACTATTTTCTAAGTCTGTAAAGATGTAATAAAATCACTGTGACTGGGTGACTGCGGTTCAAATGCGTAGTAAGTAACGGCGGCCTCGATGCTACACCCGGTTATAATCACCCATCTTCTTTTTTTCACTAATTCATTCTCTAACAATAATCCATCGAAATTGCAGCAACCCATGTAATTGAAAGAATTTTTATTCACTTCAAAGCTGGATTTAATTTTGGGTCTCTGTAAGACCACCGAAAGTATTAAACAAATATAACAAATGTTTGATTTAAACTTGTTGTGGAGTGAAGAGCGAAAAAAAAAGAAGGAATAGCCATCAATGTTTTTCAGAGAAAGCTGCAATATTATTTGTGAACATCCAGTTAAATTTTTGAAGTCCATCAGAATCTGGGCATTTGATTTTCCAGTCTTACTTTCAAAATTTGGATTTTATAATTTTAATGAAAGTTTTTTTTTTTTTTTATCAAAAGGGTTTGTTAGAAAAATAAAAATCAACTGTATAGGCATAAAGATTCTTTCAATTGCAGCAATGGTTACTCTAATTTTGACGAGAGGAAGAAACGTGCATCAAGAGGAGGATGAAGATGATAGTTAAAATGGAGAGAGAAAATATTTAAATAATTAAAGTTAAAATTCTGATTTACTTTTAAAAGAAAATTATTATTAAAATAAAAATAAAAAATAAACAATTAACTCATAAAGTGGGACACGTGTCGCAAGTAGCCACACCCGGTGATTATAACCGGGTGTAGCATCGAGGCCGCCGTAACATAGTTAAAATGGAGAGAGAAAATATTTAAATAATTAAAGTTACTTACTACGCATTTGAACCGCAGTCACCCAGTCACAGTGATTTTATTACATCTTTACAGACTTAGAAAATAGTAAAAGTCATCTACAAATAAAAGATATTCTCATATATAATATATCTATTTCTATTATATACATACACTATAGTCTATACATATACAATCGAAATTTCTACGTGGACCGACTGACCGAAGAAAAGAAAATTCAGCGCTCTCTCTCTCTATATATATACTTATTATGTGCCTATAAATACAGCAACTGAAGCTGCAAAAAACACAAAACAAAATTCATCTCTCTCGAATCCATTTCAAAAAGAATAAAAATATATATATATATATATTAAAAAAATGATTCAAATAATTCCGAAATCAGCTGTACTAACCTACCTGGTTATGTTCATCTCACAGCTAAATTGCGCATGGGATTTCATACTCTACCAATCTTTCTTTCAGACACGTGGCATCGTGTTACAAGAATATGGTGTAAATACTATTAAATATAATTACAACGAATATTCCGAGGAATCTTCAGAAGAATGCGCCGTCTGTTTGTGCAGTATCGACGAGGGAGATGACGTCGGAGAGTTGAGATGCGACCATTTATTCCACAGGGTTTGCTTGGATAGGTGGGTTGGTTATGGGCATGCCACGTGCCCCTTGTGCCGGAATAATTTGAAGCAGCAGCCACTTTTCACGGCGGAGCTCGGCCACCAGGAGTTGATCATGATCAACTTCTGCGCCGCCGTCGCCGCCAGTTCGAGAGATGACCGATCCACGTGGTGGTTGCGCTGATTAATTTACTGTTTTGATTAACTTATTTCATTCGTTTATCTCTATAATTATGCTTTTGCCTTTGCTGCCCAATTGGATGTGGTTGTTATTAGAATATATAATTTGTTACACGAGTAAAAAAAATAATTATTTATGACGACATATTAATTTTTTTTTTCTTGAGGAATTGAAATTAAAACATAATTAATTAATGATTCATTAGGCATAAGTACGTACTGTCACGGCCCTTAACAACGTACGGCCCTTAACAACGAACCGTACACCCTTAGCTCATCTCGCCCCTTGCGATAGCTAAGTCACCCTCTCCCGAATGTGTTGTGAATGCTAAGTGATGGTCCCGAATCCGAATGTATTGTGAATGCTAAGTGATAGTCCCGTATTTTAGGTGGTGTTTGCAAATGATTATGATTTAAGTTAGTTTTAAGTGCTTATTTCTAAAAGTTGGGGGTGTTTGCAAATATTTCGGAAAACGAACTAAAATTGAAAAAGCATGGTTAGGGATGCTTTTAAAAAAATAGCTTAAAGCAGATTATTTTAAGAGAAGCAAAAGCAAAAGTTGATTTTGCAAACACCTAAAAATAGATTATGAGCAAAAAAAACCGCATAATCACTTTCAAAAAGCATTTGCAAACACCACCTTAAAATGCATCTTGGTGGAGTGTGGTGAGAAATGAATTTAAAATTTCAATTTTCCTAATAAAATAGCTCCAAAAATAAATAAATAAATAAATAATGACTAGAAGAACCTTCTCTAATAGTCAGTGACAATGTTTTCTCGTCTTCCTCCACTCCATTGTTTTTTCAATTATGTTTTCTACGTATAGCTTTTGAATATTGAAAAGTTTTATGGTTTATTTAATCCTAATATTAATATCAATATTAATTTCACTCCAATACTAATTTTATATTTTCAAATATGTCCTTACGATCAATTTTGTTGAGCTATGTTTGTCCTTTCTACTTAAAGAATTTTGATTTTGACACTTAACAGCTCCTTTTGTTGCCCTCAAATATTCAAATTTTGACAGCAATTCTTGAACGCGTGCCACAAAAGCAAATTGAGTATATATATATATATATATATATATATATATATATCCATGAATATAATATTTCATTTTGCCAAATAACATTATATAAATCCATTAATTAAGAGTTTCATATTCAATTTCTAGTATAAAATTAGACAAGTTTGCTTAAATATTTGAGGAGGAATCATTTCAAAGAAAGCTCACAGGATCATCTAGTTGTCTAGCCAAGTTGAATCAATATCATTATATTGAGACAATAAGAATTCATTAATTTGGACTATGTTCGGGGTTTTATATTATATATGCTGCATCGGTTGAAATACATTAGAAATATATTTACAATTTATAAGTACACAAATACACTCAAATTTATGTGTTTAGATCGACGGTAGAAATCCACCTGATGTACCATATAATATAATAACCCCACATTCGGTATGTGCGTCGCACATCTAAATTGAAGCCCAATAAGAAACATTAAGTGTGAAAAATTCACTTAAAAATATACCATATAATTTATGATTCTTAACTAAATCCTTATATTTTATTTTATTTTTTTTGATTATGTATATATTTTTGTTTTCCATTGTTGTACTTAAAAGAAAGGAAAAGGTAACATTCAACAAAAAGTAGCGGTTTAGCTAGTAGCTCTAATAACTTCCACGAAACTTGTAAATATCAAGTAACTATTTATTTCATTTTTTAATTAATTAATTTATCACAATTATTCAACTAACTATGCAACTTTTCTTCATTTCTTTACACTTTGGTCTCTATTAGTGGATAAAAAGTTGAATAGTCTGTCCACGAGAATCTGCGTTTTCTTCATCTCCTTATTTATTATTTATTATTTATTTTTATTTATTTATTTTCTACAATTTAGTATGAAGACTCGTGTGCATTCTTTAAAATCTTAGAATAGAATATTATTATGCCTTTTGACGGGGAAAAAATAATTGAACTGTAACATTCACATGTAAATATTTTAATAAACTTTACGTTAGCAAGTAGAACGTTGTAAGTGATGGATCACATATTTAATTATGTTAGCCATGATGTAAATAAATTAAATAAATACACTTTTTTCCTGCTTATGTAACATTTAAAATTAAAGTCTAAAGTCATGTTATACACGATTGATCACTTCTAGATGTTTTATTTCACAAGCAGTTTTAAATTGATAGATTTTTTTATTTTTATAATTATTATTTTTAATCATAGTAAGAGCAACTCTAAGAGCAACTCCAATAGAGTTAATAAATGGGTTATCAAAATCATTAACTACCCTTTTGATAATTCAAATTAGAAATTTTCCACTCCAATGGAGTTATCAAATGAGTTTCTATTTAAATAATTTAATTTTTGGGATGTAAAAATACATTCGGAAGAAATAATGTCAATTGGAAGTTACACAACTTAACCACCTAAATAGCCAATTAGAAAATGACATGTGTTAATTAAAATATAAAATCACATTATTTATTTTTAATTATCAACTATTTGATATCTATGGTTGGAGCAAATAAATTTAATTAGGTATCAAACTAAAATATAAAAATATCAAATAAATATTTGATAATTCTTTTTGATATTTGTGGGTTGGAGTTGCTCTAACGGGTTATAAAATGGGTTATCAAACCCCTTAACCTTTATTTCACTCCCCAATTTTAAAAATTCTCTCCTCCAATGGGGTTATTAAAATAGGGTTCTATTTTGATAACTCATCACTCGGGGAGTAAAAATACATCCCAAATAAATAGTTATCAAATATTCTCCTACAAAATAGGAGCACGTGAAAAAAGAAAAACCTCAACATAATTGAGTTTTCTTTTCTTTACGTTAAAATCTCAACAGAATAAAATTAAATTATCTACATCTTCAACAAATTTCTACTGGAAAAAAAAATCTCAACAGAATAAAATTAAATTTTCTATGTTTTCAACATATTTTTTTTCTTTCTCTAGAGGTTCAACAAAGTTCCACAGTTTACCAGAAAAATTGGTTTGTATGATTATTTAAAATGGATTAAAAAATAAATAATATATAAATAATCATAAATATGTTTGATAATTGTTTTTTTATACTTGTGGTTGGAGTTCAGTAAATTTATAGAGATATCAAAGTATAATCCTTGTTATCAAATGAGTATTTGATAACCCCATTTGATAACAATGGGTTGGAGTTGCTCTTCCGTCATATTACTTTCGTACATGCCGACTTCCAATCAACTTAAAAAACGGAAAATTAGTGGAAATCCCCCATTTTGGAATTTCAATTGACATAGTTCCACCATTTGGAAATAATTAGCTAGTGAAAACCATCTCTTTATATTTTTTCGCGAAATTCTACTTTACTTTAATTTTTTCGCGAAATTTTGGATTAAGATGGACGTAAATCGACTATACGATGTTTGCGAAGTTGATTAAAATATTAAAGCGTATATTAGACCTGAAAACAATAAACCGATTATAAAAACATAGTTGATTGATTAATCGACTATAGTCGATTTTGTAGACTATCGAATAACACTAGAATCGATGGCAGTGATTTATTAATCGACTATAGTCGATTTTATAAACCGTCACATAACAATACTAAAATCGATGGCAAAAAAATAGGACAATATCGAACATGTGGGAGAAGCTCTGCTGCACGATCTGTTCGTGGCCATAGAGGAGGAAGGTGCCGGTATATGAGGGTAGTTTCAATTCCGGCGGTGGAGGTGTTTGATGTCCAGACAGTGGTGTCTCGGCGACGGTGGAGGTGTTTTGATGTCCAGACTCCTCAACGACGGTGGATGTTATTTATGTGCAGACGGTGGCGCGTCGATCCCGGTAAAGGTATTTGATGTCCAGACGATTATGCCACGACAGTGGATGTTATTTATGTACAGACGGTGGCGCGTCGATCCCGGTAAAGGTATTTGATGTCCAGACGATTATGCCATGACGATAGTCGTCTGTGAGAAGGAGGTGATTCGAATTTAGGGTGAATAGGAGTAGGTAGGACTTTTGTCAAATAGAAACAGGGTCGTTCCTGAGATTCTGGGACCCTAGGAATTTAAAGACGGCTAAAAAATGGGACCATTCTACAATCTACAATAAACCTATTTTTTTTTCAAAAAATGTGATAAACACTATGTCAACACGATTTTGTAAACATGGCCAGTGGCAAGATTAGAAATTTGTGATGAGATTAAAGATTATAGGGGTTCGGGGGCAGCGCCGCCCACGATTTTTTTGTAATGATAATTTGCATGAAATAACACTAAAACAAGTGAATATACATAAAAATAAATAACTAATACATTATAACTTTAATAATTAGGGGCCCCTCATTAGATAAATTATAGAAACAAGTAAAAATTGTTGATTTATATCTATATATTTGTGAATTAAGGTTCTCAATAATTATATATAACATCATTTTTTTTTCAATAAATGTTTGTATATAAATAGTATAAAAAAATTTGGGACCCTAAATTTAAAGAAAAAACGAGGGCCCTAGGCCGCCTCTCCTCCGAACCGGCCATGAATAGAAATATTAGAATATATTTTAAAGAAATGACAATTCTAAATAAAAGAAAAAAACGGTTACCTTTCCAAGAAATCAGAAGCCTACGATTCATTGCATGCAACTCCAAGTTATTCTATAGTTGCATGGACTATTGACTTGTGAAAATCGGACCAAATACTCTTTTTATTTTATTTTATTACACAGATTATATTATATTATTATATTCAACTTTCCTATGTTACTTACTACGCATTTGAACCGCAGTCACCCAGTCACAGTGATTTTATTACATCTTTACAGACTTAGAAAATAGTAAAAGTCATCTACAAATAAAAGATATTCTCATATATAATATATCTATTTCTATTATATACATACACTATAGTCTATACATATACAATCGAAATTTCTACGTGGACCGACTGACCGAAGAAAAGAAAATTCAGCGCTCTC